CAAATAAATTTTACTTTTTAATTTTCGACAAAAGGATCGTATAGTGCTACTATTCAGCTTTAAACCACATTTAAAAAATTAAAAATTTTTAATCTTTAAGAATCACCTAGAACTAAGTTAGAAACTAAAAAAAGTAAAATTTCGCAGGCCAGTGTTCTTTAAGATTTTATTTTATATATTTTCCCTGTAGAGTTCAAATTGAGCTTAAATAAATTATTATCAAAATTCAAAACAACCACGATTGTCTTTCAGGATTGTATTCTAGGACAAAAAAGAAGATGTTTCGTGCAAAAATCAAAATCATTAATTTGCTCATTATGTGTAAGAGGAAAACTTCTAAAAGAGGTGCAGAATGATTGTTTTAAACGCCAAAAATTAGCAGCCAAGAAGATGATCACATTTTCTGAAGCTACATTTCCTTTAAACTTTAATAATATTGCTTCCTTTTGGAGGAAGCATTGTAATACCGAAATTTTTCGAACTTGATTTTTTTATGTATCTTTATGTTTTTTGACCTCAGGAATAGAAAAACCACATTTTTAAAATTGTCGTTCCATGTGTGTGTGTGGGCTATTCCACGTGAGATTTACATATGACCTTTTAAATTTGTCTAAATATATTTTTTCTTATTCTTTGTAGAAAAAAAGGTTTACGATTTTTTATAAACAAATTAAATTTTTTTGAATTTAGGCGCGATTTTTTTTTATTTTTACACATGAAAATAAGAAGAAAATTTTGTAATAAGTTTTGGAGTGGTCCTGATGATCCTTTTGTTTATATAATTTGTTTAAACAAAATTTTTTTACTTTTTTTCAGTTTTTTTTTTATTTTTCAAAATAAAATGAATTTTAATTTGCTTTTCTATGAGTTTACTAGTAGATCCTAGTGTCAAAAACACTATTTATTTTTAACGAAAATAGCAATAACAGGATTTTTCGGGTAGCTGATTACGAATATGATGTCAAATTGACAATTATTTGTCATTATTATTGTCATTTATATTTCATGTTCTAATGTTGGAATATTCTTGTAAGTTTGAAAAATATGATGTAATTTTTATTTTTTTCAATAATATTAATGCATTATTCATATTATAATATTTTATTTAAATATTCCCAAAATATTCCAAAGAAATATTCCTGAAGTAATCTCCGGTCCCCGAGACAATAAAGACAAAAACTAAAGAAGGTTTGAAAGATAGACTCTTTGGCTACATTTTACTCCCTTGACGCAAGTTCCGGTCTTTTCATTATTTCGAGCTACATCCATTCTACGCTACCTTTGCAAGTGGTGATCTCACCCCAATACTTGGGGCGAGATCACCACTTATCTTATTATTATTTTTTTATTTAGATTTTCTGCGTAAACCTTTTTAAGGTCTCTCTATCCCCCATCTTTAACCTCACTTCTGAAAACCCCAAATTGCGGTCCGTAGCCGACTTTTATTAGAAGTATTCGCATTTGCCTGACCCTTTCTTGATCAGAGTAGAAGGAAACTACGGAAAACCTCTACTGAATACAGCCGACTTATTGACTGTCGAGTTATGAATGTATATATGGGCAAATCCACAAAACTTTTAACTTTTGTGATTCTCGAATCGAACACTTAAAAATCTGAATTATTTTTAATTAAAACTTTGGGTATCATTTTTTTTGCTAAATTATATACAAAGGAACATTTATGTACAGTATTAGAACAAAATATTTTTTTGCCAATTAGTTTTATAAGATAAAAAGTGAAAAAATGCTTAAATTTCATTTGAATTTCTTGAAAAAGTTTATATTCTTAACGTTTATATTTATGCGGCGTGTAAAATATCACTTCAGCTACTATGGAAATATCTAACAGACATACTTTGTCAAAAAATTTTAACTATCCCATTAGTGTGCCACCACTAAAACTAAAAATACGAAGGTTTGATTGAGTGATAGCACTTTTTAAAAAAATTCAATTGAACGTCTTCTTATAAAAATATCTATTACGGCGTTGGATAAAAATAAAAGTTCAATGCATTTCTTAAAAGGTGATGAAAAAACAAAATTTTTAAGACTTTTTTCAATGATGTGCCTCTAATTGTATTCCTGTGGCAACAATTTAAAGATGATAATAAAAATCGTGATTTCATTTAAATTTACACATTTTTGAAAGGCACAACAGCATTTTTGCTTTAAACAGGTCAATCTATGGTGTGATCGAAACATTTTCATACATATATTTGAACACAAAAACGCCGCTGAAGGATTTTGAGTGAAATAAATTTTATTAAGTTAAGAATATGCTGAAAACACTTTTTTTGAGTTTTTACCCCCTCTTTTCTCATAATCCTGACGTGCTAAGCAAATTTGGATGCCAGAATCGTGTTCAGAGGACGAAAATACTTTGGAAACCACTCCGATATCAAAAATAAAAAAAGTTGAATTTTTCAATTTTATTTGTAATTTATTAACATTAAAGAGCTTAAAGAGTTAAACATTGACGGCGTGCGCTAAAAATGAATCACGCATATGAATTTGTAGTGCTAAAATGTACTTAAACGTGTATACAAAGTGACATCAATGTGCCTGAAAATTAAAAAAAAATTTTTTTTTTCTTCAAAGTTAAAAGTTTCAACAATATGGATTTCCACTTTTATTTCATAATTTTAAACAAAAAAATAAATAATTATATTAAAAATATATTATTCTCACAAAAAGAGACTGTTTCCGTGAAGTTTTTGTGAAATTAGTTAATTAGTTAATATCTCGAAAACAAAAAAAACGACATTTTAGTTTTTTTTGGTATTGAAAGTATATATCTTAATCTTCATTTTGAGGGTGAAAAAAGGTCCTTTATTAAAACAAATTCAAAAATATTTTTCATTTTAAAAAAGGGGTAAATTTTGAATTCTTTAAAAAAAATTTTGCACCATTCGAAAGGGCACGAAAAAACCTTTCGAAATCATGTAAGTCAAAATTTGTTTCATCCTTTTATACAATAGTTATGATTTTTCAAAAAATGCAATGCTCACATTTTGTCAATTGGATCACTTCAGGAATTTCGCCCCATATATATACCTCCGTTTACATATTTATAATATAATAATGTAGATGAAAATATTTTAAAGCGATAGATTTTGAGAATTTAAAAAAAATAAAATTTTTCAAAAAGGGCTCAATGGATGATTTTGATTTTTGCTCGGAATATTTTCTTTTTTGTCCTAGAATAAAATCCTGAAAAAAATCGTAGTTGTTTTAATTTTTGCTAATAATTAATTCAAGTTCACCGTGTTTAGTGATGCAAAAAAAAGTTAAATTAATGAGAAAAATAATCAAAAACTTATAACTGTAGATCTTTTGACAGTTTTAAATATAAAAAGTATAGTAATACAGTGAATTCCCAGGGCTTTGCCTGTCATTTTTCCTAGGTTGGCTGTGCCTTAGTTGACCGTTTCAAAACCCAAGAATATCCTACCTGGGCCAACCTTGCTAGGCCTCACCTAGAAGCTGGGAAGCCCACTTGGGTCCCATATCACTTTTTCACACGGGAACTCTCTCAAAGCCATCTCAATGTTTTGTTAAAAACGTTTAAAATATGCTATTTGCATGATTTTGTTTGTAGTGAAAAATGGTCCATAACAGGCTTCCCGTATGTTTTCTACACCTATAGTTAGTTCAATGCTATCTAACACTTCTCTAATGATTATCTCAATACTTTAAAACAACTTTTTCTGCAGCTTAAAAAAGCGCGGGATTTTCGACTGGGCATTTTAAAATATCAAGTATAAAATATTTTTAAATATTTTAATAAAGTAATAGTTATTTGTGTAACTGTTTTCCTCACCTTCAAAGTGAACTTTATTCGTGTATGGAATGCCGTTTAATGCCTTTCAATACCTACTAATTCTTTTGTAGGCATTCAAAAATATTTCAGAAGAAAACGGAATTAAAAAGCAATTAAACGTTTAATTTAATTCAATGCCATTCTTCTTACCGGGGTAGTTTAGCATATGGCTTTAAGCTGACTGACAAGTATGTTGAAAGGCAAAATAAATTTCGTGCACGAAGTTGTGCAATCTAAGTATACCTATTTCAAATTTTTATTTTAATTAATTATTATAATTAGGGTAAATTCGCAGAAATGTAAACTAGACATAATTGTAATCAGTAGATGTTTCATTCAATTTAGCATTTTATATAATATGTGCTAGAATTCTGTTACTAGAGTTTAATATAATTTTGTAAAAATCGAATTAATTGAGATAATTATCATAGAAATAGTAAAATTTACTTTTGAAGTAGAGAAAGTATTAATTAAAAATTTATTTTTTATAAAAATAACCTTATTTACTAGCAGAGTGCACCAATTACGGCGCATTCATAAAAAATAACTATTATTACTATTATATTTAATATAACTGTTGCCAAATGATTAAAAAAAATTATTTCAATCTTTTTTTGATACAAATACTTATAAAGATGCACATTTAAACAATTATTAATTTAATTATTTGAGATCAAATTTTTTTCCGTGCCGCATTTGAAACATTTTTAAGATTTCCATTGGCTTCAATTTCGGCGGGCAAAGTATCTTCAAAATACACGTAATTTTGGTCACCGAAATTGATACACCGAAACTGATACAAACTCGCCGCAATAGAAAATTACGGTATTAGTTTTAATTTCTCATATTTGTTTAAATAATCGATTTTTATAGAGTTAAAATTTTTTTTTAATATCTTAATAACATAAGCTTTAAGTTTAATAAGTCTTAAATTGAGTTTATACAATAGAAATGTCGAATTTTCTATTTCAAAGGTGTTTTGACTCGAATCTTGCCGCAATTAGTGCATTTACCCTATTTACTGCTGATTTTATTATATACTAAATTTTTAATATAAATAATTCATATAAATATGCACTTTTTGAAGTTTTCAGGGAAGGGTAAGAGTATGGAACCGTATTTTGTGTAAGACACTAATTGTTATAGTTGAATAATTATTTACATAATTTGGTAAACGTACTTTATAAAAGAGAAATGAACTAAGAGTAACTTGCACAACATTATATATTTGCATTATCCTGTCAAGTTGGTAAGGAGTTTTATTTGCCATGAATCTTGGTCCAACATTGAACACAAAGTGGAGATAAAATCCCAATAATGCCAGCCCTGGCCACGGTGTTCTCATAAGAAACCAGTCCTGTGTTCTCGGATCTAAAAAAATATTTTCATTTAACGAAAATTGAAAATTTTAGCGAAATCGAAAGTATCAGTCATGCATATGTAGGGAAAGGCATGGATCCCCTTCTCCAAAAAATACCCTGCTGGAAAAATACCATTTATACGGATAAAAATCTGATCCATGTGAATATTTTTTAATCCAAAAGATTGAAAATGATAGAACTTTTCGTATCAATGTCATTCATTTCTAATTCTTACTTTATCCATGTTTATATTCACATATATCCCTCTTTCTATCCACCGAAATTCCAATGTATTCAAATCCATAGAATTTTATCCAATCTTATCTTAATACTATCCATTTAACCCTTTCCAATACTGTTTTAATTCAGGAATTATCCAATCTATTTTTTATTAATTTTTCTATCCAAATCTATCTTAGTTTATTCCTACATTTCTGTTTTTTAGACCCATTTAAATATCTAAAATTGTATCCAAAACCTTTCCTTAATTTTTCCATTTCAAAATTATTTATATTACACACTGAGAAAAATGTTTAGTATCATCTACCAAAGTTTGGTTCTCTCTACCAAATTTTTTATTTAATAAGATGCGACTAGACCGTTTGGTTGGCAGAATTAAATTTTTTTGTTGAATCGTTTTGTTCGGTCTACCAAATTTTTTATTTCCCACAACTAAATTATTGTTTTTAAGCAATCAAAAAATTTTGTTAAATGAAAATTTTTTTTGTTTTCTGAACCAACTTATTTTTTGGTTCACCCTTTTCACCTTATATAATCTACCTATGCCTACTTAAATTAATTTCTATCGCGGAAAAAACCTAACACTTTGGGGCTCGACCCCTCAGACTACGCAACGCAAGTCAAGAACGCTGACCACTACTCTACGAATCCTACTAACAATTTGAGATTGAATCATTTTCACAATGTATAAAGGCTGGAAAAAAACTTTCGTTCTTTTAACAAGTTTTATTTATTTATTCTTACTACACAAACTAAAAATGCTTAACTAAATTATTTTCTTATTATTACGAAATTATTTTTCTCAGTGCAGGCTAGCATCAGTTCGGCATAATGAATGCGACTAGATGTTTCCGAAGGAAAATTTTTAAAAATCGTGGGGCAAAATCCTGACGTGATAAAAACTTCGCTATTATCAGAAATCAAAGCTTAATTATCGTGCCCTTTCAAATGCTACGGCTGCGCAATAAAATTTTTAACCTTTCAAGCAGGGTACCCCTTATGTTTATTTAGAAACAATTTGTTTCTAAAAATTTTTTTTTAAATATTATACAAGCTTGCAGCAAGCTTTTTGCAAGTTTGCACCAAGCTTGCTTAACTATCTTGCCATGAGAGGACATTTAATAGTTGCACCAATCTTGCTACCTATTTGCACTACAATCTTGTACAACTTTTACGGCAAGCTTCCTGCAAGTTTTCGTGCTGATTACGTTAGATTACACATTTTCGTACACTGACTAACCATAAAAACAATCTAAAACATCCCTCTGTTCGAAAACAACTTTTCATTTACATACCTCCAAAAACAACCCTTAAATTCAAAATTCTTCTATTAAATTTATTTTGTAAAGGAATTTTCAACTGGGTTGTCCTCTAAAAATACACCGTTCTCTTTTGTCTTAAAGTACTATAATGCTCTTTATTCCTACTTATAATTTTAGTCATTCTCAACTATCGTTTATATATGCTTTTATAGGATAATCTTTCTACAGTCATATGTTTTTAAAATTATCCCAGAAAGTCCTATCTGAACAGCACTGTATTAGTAAATAGTAAATGCAAATGCAGCTAATGTCAAGTTTCAGAAAATTCCCGGTGTTGTGCGGGGGAGTGACACCTTTGAGGTCACTTTTGAACCTGTTTTTCATGAATTTTTTTAAGACACAGAAATAAAGTAAACAAAATTTGGTTTCGGAACTTTATTTGTTAATTTTTTAAGTTTAAGAAAATATATTTATACTTTAAAAAAGTTTCAATTTGTTGCCTATAGAGGCCGCTAAATTCGGTCTCGTTTTTCTGCAGGGAAAATTGGTGGGCAAGATTCCGGTTAGACAGTTTAATCTAGAACAAAAATTCAAAGTTTTTCTGAATTTGTAATAGATTTCCCATCAGGAAAAAAATTTTAATTTGATCCAAGTTTGGGTCTAAAGTAAATTTTAATATGATTCATATTAAATATTAGTTAAATTTAATTTTAATCCCTTAATTAAATCCAAATTTACATTTAATTAAATTTACTTTTTTAATTAAATCCAGATTTATATTTAATTAAATTTATTTTCATTAAATAAATTCAATTTAATTTTTGGTGAAACTTATTAACGTTTAATTAAATTTAATATGAATTAATTAATGTTTAATTAGTTAATAAGTTTGGACTTAATTTGCTACATATAAAAACTTAATTAGAGTTAAATTAAGGGTTAATAAGTCTAGGCCTATTAATTTTTAATTTGAGTTTAATTAATACCTTATTTAATTCAAATTAACCTTAGTTTAATTCTGAATCTGAATCAGTATAACTTTACTATTATAGAGATAACCTAACAAAACTATTAGTTACATTCTCTCCATAAATTAGTATAGTTATACTGATTCAAATTTAGAAGCTGCACTTATTTTTGCGATTCTGCAGTTATTTGAACCCTTTTTTTCTTCTGCAATATTAATAATAGCATTAATGTTTTAAGTCACCAAAATTTTTTAATATATTTATTTTCTGAAAAAAGTTTGAAAATTTTACATTTTTATTTCGGTAAGAGTATGGAAAAATAGTAATTATAATAAAGTGTTAATTATAAAAATTTTACTATTATAATAATAAGAAAAATAAGTACTTTGCTAATGCATTTACAAGAAAAAAAAATAATTATACAATTCACTTCCAAACTGAAAATAATAAATTCGGTGAAATAAAGTTTTTTCTTTTAAATCGAGATGTTGGCGGTTTGAATGCAGTTTTTAAAAACTTTAAGATTGACCAGACAAACCTAATTTTTCATGATTCTAGTAGGTTAAAAGTTTCACATATAATACCTGTATTCGAAAATCAACATAATTCTAAAGTTGTCATTGTACCGATTAAAAATATTTATGAAAAAGGTTGTAAAAGTATTCAATTATGTCTTTCGACTGCCGAACACATATGAAGCAAAAAATCTGTAAAACTGTATTTTATAATTATCTGCCCAATTTATGCTAATTTATTTCTGTTAACAAATTATTACGAAATATACCACTTTTCTTAAGAAAAAAAAAGAATTTAGTGTTACTTTACAAACAGTTCCTAAATAACTGTAATATATTTTTTTGTGTAAGGAGGCATTGTATTTATGAAATTAATACAAAAGAAAAATATTTACACATTTAAATGAACGTTAAAGTACAACTTGGCAGCGGTTTTAAAACTTAATTTGATATTTGTCAATTAAGATTATAAGTATAATGAGGTGTTTTGAAATTTTTATATTAAGATCTAATATAAATTTAATTTGATCTTTTTTTTGGATCAAATTAAACGAAAATTCTTTAATATGTAGTTAATTAAATTTTAATTAATTTTAATACTTATTTTGACCTTAATAAGGATTATATTTTTAATTCGATTCTTTATAAACTCTATATTAAAATTTAATATAAACTTAATTTAGTCCCTTATTTGAGTCAAATTAAAACAAATTAAATTATGGGTCTTAATTTGGAACTAATTTGGATTAAATAAGGGTTTAATTTGTTACAAATAAAAAACAAATTAAATTGATTTTCCTGATTAGCTTTAGAATACATAAGGTATTTTAAAAATATTAAATTTTGTGGATTTGGCAGGTATTTGAAGGAAAATTCGATTTCTTAGGCGAAATTTTTTCAAAAAATCTATTGCCAAAAAAAACAAACCAAAAAAAATCTGCTACGTACTCTAAAGCATTAGTAAATGACGATCAAAAAAAACTTTGACCGAAGTCAATCCGATCAAAACTGTTCAAGCTAGACTGCCCAACGTTTTGAAAAATGTCATTTAGAGAAAAACGCGTTTAAAGTTTTGACAGATGAAACCTTATTAAAAAATGAACTCAACGTTAATCTACGATGCCTGCACCGTTTAATTGTCCTTCTACATTAATATTGGCTTCATCTTCAGTCTTCCTACCGGCTGTGAGCGTAAAAGAACGTAATTGTTACCACGGTAAAAGAGAAAATAGCCGATAGCGCTAACAAGCACTCTAAGCGCTCTTGAACAACTTCGGCAGATTTCGATTTTTTCACATAAAATAACGTATCGTTTAAACAAACAAAAAAAATCGATTTTTTTCGGGTTAAAGGTGTCACTCCCCCTTAAATTAAATTGCACATTAATTAGAAATCTCAACCAAAATTCAAATTACGATCCAGAATTAACCGATCTTAAGCAGTACATAATATTGCATTAATATAAAGGTAATATTACAGTAATCTTAAAATTGTCCACCTGAGAGTAATTTTACATAGTAATATTAAGATAATATTCAAGTAATATTACATGTTGCACTGAGAAACTTGTTATTTGATGAAAAAAAGTTAACGAGACGGGAATCGAACTCCGAACCTAACGCATATCAGTCGAGAGTCTTAACCAACAGACCAATTAGTACTTCAAGTATAGTTAGGTGTTTGACAAAATATGAATAACTCTAAGCAACATGAATATTTATATATTTTGTGAATAACTTAAACAAACATGCTACAAGTACAACTGGTCTGATACACTTTCGCCCTGATAGTAATGTCACATGTAAAGGTTATAATAAACTTATTTTGTTGTGATAAGTTTATATTGTAAGCTTACTGTAAGGTTACAAGGTTATAAGTTTAGGTTATAAGCAAAGTTCTATCAGTTACAATCTAGATTGTACGGAGTAACATGTTAATTGTAGTGGGTAACATAACCATATTTTTTCTAACACTTTTGATAGTACCGAGTAGCATAATGATGGTACCGGATACCATCTACTTTTAACCATCTTCAGATCATAAGATCTTACCATCTATTTCTCTCCGTGCACGGAAAAAAATTTGCTGTGTTATCAACAGCATCTCTGGGGCCATCTAAAAATTGCAGTTGTAGTATTCACAAAAAGCTGACATTTGGGAAACACACAAATCTCATTGAGTGTGTCACACGTACATTTTTTGCGCATGCGTTATACCTCTGTATTAACGCAAATGGAATTGTGCTATTTTCAATTTTTCTGTCGGAAACTCAATTTTTTTATAGTCAACATGGAAATTTATATATTTGTCTATTCTGAAATATGCAGTGTTTTCGCTACAAAAAAATTTTGTCCGTACCTCGTCCGTACCTTTACATGTCACCTTATTCAATTTTAGTTGTCGAGAAAATGTAAAGGCGCTTGTACACCTTGCAAATTTTGAATATACTAAAAAATTGTCCGAGATTTGACTAATTTTTATTGTCTTTGATGAAAGATTTGAAAATTTTCTATGTGCAAAGTCAATTAAAATTATTGAAATCTCTGACAAATTCCAATTATACTCAAAATTTGTAAGGTGTATAAGAGTCTTAAAAATCAAGGTTCAAATATAGTTTTTTTTACTTTTCTTCGCAAACTCATCGTTACCCCTTGTTCATCTTTTATTATTTTATAGAAAAAATTATCAGCTTTCGAATAAAAATAAATAAAATTTTCTTTTAAATACTCAAGTAAGTCAAAACTGAAAAATAAGGTTTAATATTTAAAAAAGAGGGTCAAAAATATTATTGTTAAAAATTTTTTTTGTATTAAAAAAAGTACATGAAAAATCCTTCAAATTTAAAATCGGTAGATTGTCGTGAAAGATATACGCATCTAAAAATAAGACTGCATTAGGGTAGTGACCTTTACAAATTCTTTCTTTCAATACAAAACAAAAAAAATTTTTAACCCTCTTTCTTTAAAAATTGAATATTTTAGGGATTTTGTATTTTCATAAAGGACAAACATTTATCAATGTATTAAGCCAATTCAAGAAATTTTACCTCATACACTGTTACTAATCAGACTACAACTTTACACCAAAAAAAATTAGATAGTTTCAATCTCGAAAAGTGTGAAAAATTGCATTTCATTCGATTGATTGAAATCTTTAATCCAATGTAATATATAAGTATCCGCATCTTTCGAGATTGAAACTATCAGTGTTTTTGCAAATATGCTGGGTTTAGTAGTTTTGAATAATCGTAAGGAACAATCACACGTGTAAGAAATTGAAAAAAAAATTTAATTGTATTTCTAAAACAGTGTTAATTAAAAATATTGCTTCAGGTGGTCGACTACTGACTTTATTACATTTGTTTATTTGCAAATTTTTTTGACGAGTAAGAAATTTTTTTTGTAAATATGATTGGTTTAATACTTTGTATGATCGTAAGGAACATAGAACAAATTTAAAAAATCTTAATTGCACTTTTTAAACAGTGTTAATTAAAAAGATTATCTAAATACCTGACACTTCATCATTCAAATATCGATATCCTTGCACAACAGCTCTGACTATAGTTGCCATTTTAAAATAATTTTTCTCTGAAATCCCACACTGATAGATGTAAATAGCGATAACCGGCACTCACGAACAAGCATACGATCCCAAAGATTAAATAATCAATAATTAATTTCAATAATAATAAATACTTTTTATTTCGTTTTTTGGGAAATTTTTTTTTATTTAATTTTTTTGCTTTTCTTATACACTTGCTTTTAAAAATTATTATTTTTTGAAGCTTTCACTTTTTTCACCTATATTGAAAAAAGAAGATTTTAAGTTTTTCCACAATTAACTTTTTACGGATAACAAAAAATCCGTAAATGTTGTAAGACGAATTATTTATAATTCAAAAAACCTTTTGACCCACCCAGCCACCATGAAAAACTAAACAGAAATGAAAGAAATTCTTTTTCTGATGTAAAACGTACGACCATTGTATTGTAATTAAGAAGAGACAGTTAAATTACTCAAGAGGTAAACGCAAATCACGTGAACGCTACAAGTTTTTTGACCCTTTATAGTGGTGCTCGGTTTTGATCATCAACGAAAACCCCACCAAGGGTATCCCCTTCCAGCAACCAATGACGTTTCAGAATATGAATGAACTGCATTACTCGCATTTTGTTCTTACAAAAATAATAATAGTTTAACAACTATTTGTAAGATAGAAAAAATTTGTAATTTTCTATTAGGTACTTTCTATTTACTTTTTAGTGGTTTTAACATTTTAATATTGAACCTTAACAAAAATTGAAATTTCTGATAATGCTTTCACTGTAAAAATATCTTGTCAATTCAGAACCAATTTGTTCAAATAAACTAATAATAATAAATAAATGAATAATAAATCTGTGTTATTTATGTTCTATCTTATATTAAAATGTTAAAATTGACACAAGAATTTTTTAGAAGATTTGTTTTATATTTGATATCGTAGTATTAATATAAAACAAATCTACTTTAAATTATGGACTAATTAAAAATTATATTTTCGTATTTTTATTTCTAGTAGCTGTAAAAGTATGCTGCCATAGTTAAATTAGTTTGTTAATATAGGGACAGCTAAAAATTAAGCTGTTCATGGAATATCAAAATTTCCGTGCCATGTGCCATTTCGCGCGAGATAACTAATGAACATTTAATTTTAGTAAATATTTTATATTTTTAAAAAATCAAAATTTATGTTGTCTTCATACAATTTGTAGAATTTTTAACATTTATTTTATAAATAAATTTTATCTTATTAATTTTATTTTATATTATATTACTTGCATATCTTGTATTAGATATCCTGGGGATATCCCTCGGATATCCTAAGTTATCTCTGGGATATTAAAAATTATATTTTAGTTGTGGTAACAAAATTTTGAAAGCAAACATTATTTTGTTGACTTCGAGAACAATAGACCATTGATTTTCCTTAATCATCATGTTAAAAAACAAAATTCCTTCTTGTAATTATTACAATTGTTTATTAAAAACACAAACTATGTCGCAAAGCAATTAAAGAAAAGAAATAAGTTTTTTTACAATTCAGTTTAAGATTCTAAGTTTATCATTATTTTATTCACACTATAGAACAATTATCGTTATAATTATTGCAGTTGACAAGAGAAAAACATTAAGAAATGCTTATGAACAAAAGAATCATCAACATAATTATATATTTTGTTTGGATTTTCAATTCAACTAAAAGTAAAAGTTATTTCATCTTTAAATATTTTCGTTCATGACAAATATGCTAAATACTTTGATATATGGAATTAGTGAAAAAAATATCAAAATTAACTACATATTTCTTGTTATTGAAAAAATATATTAAAGAGTAATCAATTATCAAAGGCATTTATTCTGGTAGAATTTTATTCGTAGCGTCACTCTCTTAATTACCATATAGATGAAAAAGTTTTTATTCATGCTTAATTTAAATACCATTTGAATTCAATTTTAATAATATCAATATTTAAATTTCATTATATTTAAAATGTTTCATAAAGAACTTTACTTTTGTCACATATATATTTAAAAAGATTACAACAAATGTTGTCCCTTTAGACACTGTTTCAAGAATCGAACATAACCTCAAAAATGAAGGTCGAAAATCAAGAGACGAATATTAAAGCTCAAGGTCAACACTTCAAATTTATTGTTTACTCTATCTCAAAGTTTAAAGGTCAAACATAACCATAGCCCAGTAAGAAAGCCTGCATTGATAATGCCTAAAAAACGTCAAAAAATTTGTCTGAAAGACAAAGGTCAACCTTGGGACATTTTAAATATGGGGTAAAATTCCTGAACTGTCCAGGTTAAAAGTTCGAAGTTATTGAATTTTAATTTTTTCTTTGTACTTCTTTTGCCTCTTTCACTTTTTCTCGACCGAGACCGACTTATTTTCTTTGCTTCTTTAAAATAAAATTTATTAGAAAATGATAATTTTGTTTCCGCACATGTATTTTATTCCGCACAAAAAAGCAATATGAGATCTTACACCGTAAACATCTGGTAAGCTAAGCTTATGGTCGTGTTGATCTTAAAATGTAACTTTGCTGTAAAGTTTCAAGTAAGCTGATCTTACGTCAAACTTACATTAAAATTAATGAATATTATTAAATAAATTAAACAAAATTTTTCATATGTAAAATATTGTTTTTAAATGTGATTTGCAGAACTTACGGTTCTGTTGAATATTTCATATATCCGCGGGATATTTACGAAATATTTAATTTAATAATAAATATTCAAATTATGAAACTAAAATGGTAAATTATTATATAGAGGATATCTTGATTATGACGGTATACCTGGACATTCTCCATTATCCAAAGGTATTTCTCTATGATTTCCCACATAGCACAATATATTGCAGTAATGTTATCGTCTCATTATTTGAATGGATTGTAAGGTTACATCGTAAGCATGTATAAGTAAATTTAAGGTGGACTTAAAACTTCCGCTCTGATAATAATATGGTTACCTGTAAAGGTTGCAGTAAGGTTAAATTTAAAGGTTGTCGTAAGCTTACAAGTGAGAATAACACTATGCGACAAAAAAATGTTTAAGTTAATTTTGTTCGCTAAAACTAATTAAAATAAAATTACCATTTACTGGATTTGTTGATATTACTACACTTTTACTTGTTATATGCGTTTAAAGGTCTCAAAAACACGTATTTTAGCATATTTCAAAGTTTTAGAACTACATACTACAAAATATTTTTCCGTGTTTGTAAGTCCGGGGGAGTTGGCCATGCGGGAGAGATGGCCAATTCAAATATTTTATAGAATTTGCTGCTAGATATCGCTTCCCACACAGCACTGAAAGTTTAGTAAACATTTATTAAAGCTTTAACTGCAATGTTCGGAATGTTTAATTGCAAACTTGAGTAAAGGTTGCATAAATATTAAAATGTTTGCCATGAATAAATGTTTATCAGGAAAGTTAAGTAAACATTTAAATTAAATATTTGTTAAATGTTTATCAGGAAAGCTGAGTAAACATTTAAATTCAATGTTCGTTAAATGTTTAGTTCGAAAGTTGAATAAACATTGAAATTAAATGTTCGTTAAATGTTTAGTTCGAAAGTTGAATAAACATTGAAATTAAATGTTCGTTAAATGTTTAGTTCGAAAGTTGAATAAACATTGAAATTAAATGTTCGTTAAATGTTTAGTTCGAAAGTTGAATAAACACGAGGGGGAATTTACTCTGGTAGTCAAGTGTATACTTGCCTGGTAATAGGTACTTGGTAATACCTGTAATATCTGTAATATTTTGTAATGTCTTGTAATAATAAGTATTATTGTGTAATATCATGTAATTCTGTGTAATACTTGTAATATTGTGGTATTATGGTGTAATACCTTAAAAAATTTAAAGAAAATCAAAGCAAAAAATGTTAATAGCAGTAAAAATTTTAAACACTAATTCAAATGTAGCGCGGGAGTTGATGCTGAAGTATAACAACTTTGCCATAGGTGGCGGTATCGAATGTTTACAGAATCAAATCAGAAGATGGTTTTTTAGTAATTGGCCGAATTTTAGCTTTTAGCTACCTTACTGGAATAAGTAGAAAAAATCGAGTACAGTAAGATATCTGCTTCTGTAATTATACCGAAACAAAATGCACGAGGCTTAGGTAGTTTGTGTTCGTGGTTTAAGGGGGGCGCCTACTTTAGAAGGTAAAAAACTGCGTACATTTCAGGAATTTTTTTCTCAAACACATTTAAATAAATCGATGCGAGATTTAGTGTATGTTTTCTTATATATTTAAATCTTTGAAATATAATTTTTTGATTAAATGAAAATAGAATTTAATAATAAAATAAACGCCATATATATAACGCCTCGCTGCTGAAATTTTCCCATTGCGTACAACCTAGGGTCCACAATTCTTATCTAAAACGAAAAAACAAAATTTTTTCTTTAAATATACATTATTGCCTTCTGTATGAATTAAAAGATTTCAATAGAAAGTAAAAACTGACATTTTTACATGACTTTTTTAAAAAAAATTTAATTTTCGCCAAAAAAAATCTCATTTTTTCTTTAAAAGAAAGCACTAAATTTAACTCTATCAAAAACAAATTTAGTTCATACAGAAGAGACACTTTTTATCTTTAAAACAAGCAAACTACAAAAACAGTGTTTTGAGAAAAACGAGTTTAAAGATTGAAAAACTGTTTATTAAAAACTTACGGCAGTCACAGGCCTCGATGAACGATTTTTTTATGGGTAGCTCTTGGATAAGACGACATTTTACTGATAAATGGTAATTTTAATGGTAGGTGTAATAGTAGATAAGCGCAACAAATTATCAAAAGTATTAGAGACCGCGAGTGAAGTCGCGCGCCAGGCCACGCGCTTTATTGCGTTCTACAAACTGTAACTCGAAAAATACTTTGTACTTTGACGTAATATTTTAAAAGTATATTCTCTGATAGTTGTACTTTCAGTTAAGAAAACTTTTAAAAAATCGATTTTTTTGACCCGATAAAGTAGGCGCCCCCCTTAAGATAGCAAAAAACCAAATATTATACGTTATAAACATGGATGCTCACGGATAATATAATATAGAAAATTATATTTGTTCAGTTCCTCGTCCAAAAATAAAAACAAATAAGTTATATTTATCGTGTTCTTTAAAAGAAATTTCAAAACATTTGAAATAATAGTTGTTTACGTTTTAAAAAAGAGAAATTTATTATTTTCTTTTATAAGTAGGGTAAATGCACTAATTGCGGCGTGATTCGAGTCAAAACACCTTTGAAATAGAAAATTCGACATTTCTATTGTATAAACTCAATTTAAGACTTATGGCGCACTCACACCTTTTTTGGCTGCCTGCCTGCCTGCAGGTTACCATGGCAACGCACGAGTGTGCGTGAGACAGAAAATTTGAATATTCAAATTTTTAAATTTTCTGTCGCACTCACTCTCATGCGTTGCCATGGTAACCTGCAGGCAGCCAAAAAGGTGTGAGA